GCCTTCCCTTTTTTGATGCATAAACTGTGTGACCAAGTTTACCATCTAGATTTTCAATAAAACATTACATGGTATAGTAGTTACATTTAAGGCTGTCATTTCAAGAATCTTTTTTGATCACTAACAACCATTCCTAGGTGACAAGTGCTTGATCTAGTGGCTAAAGTGCAAGTTACAATAGAAAGCTACATGATATACAATACAATGATTATAGTGCATCAACCAAAACTCTATCCAAATTGTCGAATCTATTCTTATGAATCTAGGCACCACCCATTTGATCTAGCTGCTAGATTGCAGGGTTTATCATACGAACTATTTGCCTTGACATTTTCTTCTGCAAATTTCAAGATGGAGTTGATATACAACAGGGTTCTGGGGGCTTTATTTATATTTGTAAGTTTGTTTTGTGCAGTTAAAAAAACTCCAACATTGAATCTCTATGTTCTTCGCATTCTAAAAATTTTCCTTTGATACAATTAACGATTGTAACATTTAACTTTTCATGATCAATCAAATTATCCACAAGAAGCAAAATCTAAAGATTGTTCCCAGAGATAGTTAAATTAAAAAATCAAAAGTTTTTCCTCTTTAGCTAGACAAATAAAACCACAAGCTACAAAGTAATGAGTGACTAAGAATTTTCCATCAACCAATATCTGCATCCTTGAAATTACAGTACACAACTAAAATATGAGATAACCAGTACTAGATAGCACTAAGCTTTTAATATGTTATTGTTTCACTGGACTAATATTAGGCATTAGTAATAAAAGAATATCATTTTCTTTTTCGTCCTTGCAAGTAAATATCCAAAACAAAAAAAAAAAAAACAAAAATGCGATTAGATAAAGACACAAACCACTTTTTCCATAACTAGCCATTACTTTCAAGAGGCCACTAAGGTCAACACATCTATAATCGTCCACCTATGTTTACAAACTTTTTCAAGACATTCAGATCATGTAGCAGACAAAAATGGTAAACTCCAAATGCAATAGAACAATTATAATATTAGCTTATCATGCATAAGATGTCAGATAAACAATAACAACAAGCTGATGCACATCATATTGTCGTATAAGGGAACAGGAATTTGATTAACTCTTTGAACCTAATTTAGACATATATACTTTCAGATTGACCTTTAGGGTGTCTTTGTTACATTATATTGCACAACATTAAAACTTTAATATTACATGACCCAGTTCTAAAGACATGTATCGACCTCACAATACAAGCCATGTATATCTATGTGAAATTGACAACCTAATGGTTTTCATTAGAGTAGGATGAATTTTGTATTGGTAACCTTATAATTGACAATAAACTGTCTTTCGTCATAGTGGGATGGAGATGTAAACTCTAAGATACGTGTATCAACCTTATTATACATGCACTATTTATGTAGGACTTACACAACAATAGAGAATCGAATTTACTGTAGAATGTGTTTGAATTTATAGTTCACACTTTGCTGTCTTTCATAAGAGTAAGATGAAGATGAAAACTCTGGACACATGTATCGACCCCATAATTGCACTATTAAAGTACGACTTACGCAATGACAATGAATGAACCTATGACAAAACTATGAGTCTAAATTTATAGTTCACACTTTAAGAGTCTCATCTTTTTAACCAGTGAATGAACCTACGACAGAACCATGAGTCTAAATTTTATAGTTCATAGTTTAAGAAACTCCTTTTAACCAGTGAAAAACAGATGAAGAACAAGTCAAGAGCATGGGGCAATTTAGGAAAGTGAAAGTGCATTAAACATGTAGGTAGAAATGTTGGCTCTTGCCAGCAAAGATAATTAGGCAAAGAGATTTGGTGGAACTAACTCGTTTTAAGTAGTCAACTACTATTTTAATCACATGATTTAGATAAAGCAGATTGATTGTATGTATTAATATATTTTGTCTGCTATGCACGTAGGGAGCTAATCTGCCATTATAAAATCAATAAACAAACCATCACAAGTTTCATATAATTGAGCAACACCATCATTATCTAACCAATTAAAGACAAGTGTGCAGGAGTGAGTGCCTGCCTGCCTTGACCGGCAATCTATCCCTTTGCTTATCCTAAACACAATGATCATGTTCATGATCATGATTAATTAATCACATTACAGGTTGTAAAAGACTTAATAAAAGTTTCATGGTGGGCCCTTTGTCTTGCACAGAAACTATGACAAATTCTTCATTTGATTCACCAATAATTAGAGTTAAAAAGAAGCTGGTGGATCTTCTCTTAAAAGCCCTTGTGGGCTTATCAACTTGAATCAATTTTATATGACAAGTGTGAGTAAAACAAAAACTATATAGGAAGCTTACAAGGTGGTTATATGGAGTTGCTTTCAGGAGGCTGCAGCTGGAAGCTGTAAACCAGTTGTTGAAATTTTCGGCTTAATGGCATAAGCAAGAGTAATTTCTGCTGGGGTTGAGTCTGGAACTTCATTGTGGAAGGGTATTTCAAACAAAAGGGATTGGTACAGGCACACTTCATCTTCTTTACAGTAATAGACTTGTAAAACATGGCAAATCATCACCCACTAAATAGTTAATAAGATGCAAAGTTAGTGTGAATTTATTCAAACTTCTTTCGCACGCCATCTTAATGCTATTATAGCCTGCATAGCCGAATATCAATTTGATCTTAGAACATAGAAATTTTGGTGTTACATGTGTCTGATATTTGTAACTTTAAATTGACTATACTATGCAAATGATGTTTCAATCAAACCATTTACACTTCAGGCCTAGATCTAGATCTTGGTGTTATTCTCATTCAAACAGATGTCCATCAAAACCTTTAATATGTCCAATGAGTGAAAACATACATTGAGAACATTAGTGAGGACCATGAGCCTGCAGGCACAAGGGGCTGTAAGCCTGAACCAGGTTGTATTTATGGTTACTAAAACACCCTTTATTCCCTTGGTATCGGTACTGAAGGCTAGGGAATTAAACTGACAGCAATCACATGGTTTACTTGTCAAAAGTAGTTCAATTCAAACGACTTTTGACTTGTGGGGGCAATTAATATAGAGCACACAAAAGTGGCATACCTGCAACTAATTATACCTGTTGAAGCTGATGGAGAGAGTCTCCTAAAGTGAAGTCTTGTTGATCCTTCTGGACTAAGATTTCCATCCAGGGATCAACACCACGGTTTTCAGGTTCAACAGTCCTGCATTGTAGTCTAAAGCAGAGAATATTAAGGTCAAAAGCAAATGAAAAAGTGAAGCCTTTGTGACACAAACCATCTGTACCTTTGAGAAGGTACTCAGGCAAAGAAATTTAATACTGAGGTTGCCTCATGGACACACCACATCAACAACAATTGGGGTGCAGGAGGCTGAACTCCTTTTAGCTCTAAAGTAAGAAGTTCAGGCCTTTCTTGTTCAGTCTAGGTATTGATGACACTATTGTTTGTATACCTATGAGAAGCTTCCTGAAAATTGACAACGAAACACTTTTAATAAGTACTTATGATAATCTATGCAAAGGCACAGCCAGTACAATCAGACAACTTCCAGTCAATTTTGATACTGTTTGGCTAATGAAACAAGAAGACACCGTTCTCTGCTTCGATGATTCCTGATGGTCCAAAAGTTGAAAGAAATAGTAAATGCATAAAAAGTGAAATTTCAGTCATCATAAATCAGAAAGTTTCTTGGGAGTGATATAAACATCCTCAACTTTCATTTGGTTCATTCGGTTAACAAGGATGAAAGAGCTTCATTGTAATAATTCAAGAGATGTGATTGTAACAAAATTTAAAATATGAGATGGTACTTGGATTATGAATTCTCACATTTTAATCTAGTCACACATAATGGCTCAGAAATAGCACTATGAACTAATGAAAGAAACTCATTTTCAGTGCATCTGAAATTCCATATGGCAGGTAACAAGACATTGTCTTTCCATTTGCAACTTGTTGCTAGATAGTGAATCAACAAACAAGTATAACTAATTCTCACGGTAGATGCATGTAACACATATAAGCAATTTTTTTTTCTTTTTGAAATTAAAATTCCTTCAAAGCAACATATACTGAATTCTTAGCCACCAGTAATACAGCATGAGCAGAATTCAGTAAGAAGGACGCAAATTATTTTCTAACCTGAGCTGCTAGGGCTGTTCCATCCTTGAAACCAACTTTCCCAGTCCCTGCTAGGGTACTGACCCTTTTACTAGCTGGATCCAGCTTCTTGATCTGAAATTTCACCCAAAAAGAGATGAAAATCAAGAAGTTAGCTTTGATAATTCACATTCATTTTATCAGTTATGTGATCAACACTCAACAGGAGCCCCCAAGTAATGCATCATGAGCATTCATGAAGCTTTAAATTTATCGTCAGAAAATTCAACAAATGTCGGTTGGGTACAGTGATCTAAATATCTTTAATATCTTCATCTATTAGCTAATTACCTTGTGATTGCAGCTATCTGCAAAATAATTTTGACCATCCTTCGCACAAAAGACAGCTAGTGGATGTTGAAGAAGAACTTCAGATCCTGTTCCATCATGGTCTCCAAACTGTAAATCATACATTATAAGACTATTAGGAGAAAAAGACAAAATGACATAAACTAAATATGAACTGTAAGTCTTCTCCAATTTCTGTAAAAAAAAATTATTCAAGACCAAAATATTTTTCCAAGATGAAACAGGCTTCTTAATTTTTAAATTGAATTACCTTGAACAAATTGTCTGACAAAAAAGGATCACAACCAACTAGCAATCTTGATCCTCCTGTTTTTAGACTGAGTGCTCATATGGAGCTAGTCTCACTATCCACAACATAAATTTCTGTGAAATCTACAAATAAGCATCAATTTGAAACTTCAGATATGGTGACAGAAACATTTAGACTACTATAAAATGGTTGAGAATATGAAATATGTCAAAAAATCCCAGCATATATTACCAGGAGATAATGAAATTCCGGACAGTTGTGCAAATGAAGTGGTTGTAGAGCTACCTCAACAAAAAATCAGTACATCAATGCCAAATTTCCAGGAGAATCATGCCAGTGGAAAACATAAATATAAATGAATAAAAAATTGAAATTAAGACAAATAATGCTCTAGTATAACACAGATGTATGTGATGAGTGCAAACAAATAGATAGACATAACTATATGGACCTTTCAGGAGCTATAAACATTTAACAGGGCAGTCGCCATCGGAACTGAGGTTCTGCCCTTTCTCAATACAAGCTCATCCAAGTTCAGCCTGGACTTCAAACTGATCAAACTTTTCTTTATCACCTTTAACTTTTTTCTTTCTTATCAACCTAAAGGTTCCACAATTTGGAGCACAAATATCCAAAAGGATTTTATATGTGAAGTACGAAGATGTAAAAGAAAAAAGAATCAACTGATCACTTTACTGATTCTTTGAATTACCTTGATCCATTCAAGTTCCTTTCATAACCATCGCCACTAAAAGCTTTAGTAACTCCATCAAGTGTATTGTGTTCCCAGATCTGATGTTGGCCAGCCATTGCAATGTAAACCTTCTCATTTACTAGCTCAAAACAGACATCCCATGGAGAATTGAGGAGCTGAAAAAAATGAAATAAAATTTTTACATATCAAGAAAGATGTCAATTCAGTAAATAAAGGGGCCAAATTTCTTTATAAGAACACTAAGAACGCAACCAGAATATGCATCATTAATTCATGTTATCCAATCTTGCCTGGGAGCTTCCCTTGTCTCCCCCCTTGGTAGTCAGAGCCTTTGGTTCCATTTCCGGCAAGAGTTTGCACCTTTTCATTAACAAAATCAATCTCCCTACAATACATGCATTGAAACTAATTGAAACTATTAAAACCTTTTCACGAAAGATTATGAAGATAATGCTAGTAATGTAATTCCTTTGTGAACTTATCTTAAGGATTAAAATCAAAACGTCTGAACATAGTTTTCTACTCTTTTCTGTCTGAGAAAACCATAAAAACGTCTTGGGGAACTATGCTAAATGTAACACAATGCCTTTAAAAAAAACAAGGTCACCTTACAACAAAATCGGAAATAGAGCCTAAAAGGGCTTCGAAACAATTTAAGGATAGTTTTGAACCTGCAACGTACCTCAAAGCATGGTTTTCAGTATCTGCAACATAAAGGATATTTTTCTTCGCGTTGTAAGCCAGGCCCTAGAGAAGCATGTGGCCACAATGTTACTACTCAGTACTAATTCATCCACATAAAAATTGAAGCATGAGATAACAAAGCTTGAAATGCATGCTTCTATTCATTTATATTGATTATAACTAGAGGTATTAACTTAATCCTTACTTGAGCATGATTAAAGGGGTCGTGGCCTCCTCGAAGGATACATCACGTAGACCTCCCTCTCTTGAGCTACCGATTTGGACCATAAAATTCCCATAATCAGTTACCACCTGAAGTCCAGACATGACAAGACGGTTAAATAACAATCCAAGTATTTAACCATGCTATTCGTTACTGTATAAAGAAACAGTTGGTAAGATAATATCATCAAAAAGAAGTTCTAATTGCAATTTCTTGATCAACCATCTTATTAAAAATATAATCTGATAAGAACCCACTCCAATAACTCAACAATTGGGTAGGGCCATGGGTTTCTCATGGGCTTGGGTAGAATCTCCTTGGAAAATCAGCTTGCCAAAGGACGGTGCCCAAGCCCTTTATAACTCACATGCCCACCCTTTCCCTCTCAATGTGGGATCCTAACAAGCACCACCTTCCCATCCACCACCTCATAACTGTTGTAGATAATNAGGGAATACTTTGATGATTTTGATCTTCTAAAGATTTGTATCATCCGGACATTTCACATGTAATACATATATATAAATGAAGCAATAAACCACATGTGAAATAAGAACACTTTCTTTTATTGATAAGATAAAATATATATACAAACTATATACATTTACATATATATACAAAACATAATGCCTCAGAACCGATGACACGATTGGTTCCTAGGGCATACACTAACAATTAGAACTTGACAAAACTAATTATGTCAAAAGTCTAAGGTTGAAGATAATCCTCAGAATTTCAGTTCATAATAAAGTATTAGCTAGAGCAACTCTAAACTCATCTTACACAAGGACAAAGCAGGGTGCCACACAATTGTCCATTTCCTTAAACAATCTGACTACTTTGTGTATTTTTCATATGAGACAAGATATAGCAACTTCCAAACTTCCATATCTCAGTGCTTCTTGCCGAGAACCCTGCAACCTGTCCATAAATTACTTCTGCGACCTCAAGCTGAAATATTTTCTCAAAAGGCTCTGTTTGCATTGTCAGAAAATGAAACTTGGAAACAAATGTTTTTGTGCTGAGATTTTGAACTGCTCATCATTGGGATTTTATGCATACCAAGTATCTAGCTAAACAATTTAAATGATGCAAGTTAACATTCCTAAACATAGTTCTCTAGAAGACGAAATAAAAGCAGTATCAAAGGAAACCAATTTTCATGACGGAGTATCGCATCAAAAGCTCCTTAAAATTTGAATGTTGTTGGGAGAAACTAAAGAAATGGATAAGAGGGGAAAACTACAAAACTAATTATGACACAAAATAATGAATAGTGTGAAACATTTAACATAGATTCACTCGAACTTTGCAAATATAGACCCTGTCTTACCCCTAAGCTAAGAGATCTTTGTCACTGGTAGCACCTACAACATGGACAGGCCCATTATCTGTTCTTTCTTTGGGCATGGCAGATGAATATTCTGGGTCCCATTATCTGCAATGGCACATCCTTTTATTAGATCTCATTGTGCTAGAATGTAAAATTTATTACTGTCCCCTTTGAAACAGTTGGTAAGAGAATATCATCAAAAAGAAGTCCTAATTGAAATTTCTTGATCAACCATCTTATTAAAAATATAACCTGATAGGAACCCACTCCAAAAACTCAACAATTGGGTTGGGTAGAACACTCCTTGGAAAACCAACTTGTCAAGGGAGGGTGCTCATGCCCTTTATAACCCACATGCCCATCCTTTCCCTCACAATGAGGGATCCTAACAAGCACCACCTTCCATCCACCACCTCGTAACCAAGTAATATATCCCAAAAGATACCGTGATCATATTTGCCAACCTAAAGTATACACATAAATCTAGGTTTCCTTCAACAACTCTATTTCCACCACTTAAAGCTAAAATATTAACCCTTAAAGACCCATTCCTTCATCTAATGCTAGCTTCTACCTCAATTAATCACATTAAATAACAAACTTTCCCAAAGGTTGGTGCAAGAGGAATTGATTCTGAGACCATCCGCTCTACTGTTAGAGATTTAATTAGGTAAGCTATCTTCCAAGGAATAAAACCTAGTTGTATCCATCATAAAAACCCTCGGAGTTGATCATTAAAATAGTCTTGATGCCATATGTTTAAGAACAATAGTGACACACTAAAACAAGTAATAATTTAAACATAATAAATAAATAAAACACTTTCATATGCAATAGCTCCAATGATGGAAAATGTAGGATCTTAAAATTTTGGGAACTAATTTATACAAGGAATATAAATATCTTAGTCAGATCGATGATTGCTTCTTGTCTAAGAAAGATTTTAGGTTGCATATTTCCAAGCAAATTTCTATTTAGAACTGGTACTATATAAACAGGGTCTTAGTTTTCAGTTAATAAAAGACTTGTTGAAATATTAGTTTCTTCCCTGATTCTATTTGTTTCTCTTCCTAATTCCTCTAGTTATGTCATCTTTCTTGTTCTTCTATTTTATTGCCCTTTATTTCCTCCTATTCTCACTATTTCCTTGTCTCTCATATTTTTTATCCTAATGCTCATACATCAACCAACCTTGGACCAGCGGGAACTGATAGTTAATCCCCTTTTTCTTTAAGCATAGACTTGAAACTAGAGGCAGCCGCAGCATATATCGCTTGAACTTTTTCTTCGACAGCCTTCTTCAATGGAAGGACCCTGCAAGAGAAGTAAAAACCTTGTGCAACTAGTATGATAAAACGGCACATTAATAACCAAAAAGCATTTACCATGCTAATCCAGAAACAAATCAAATTAAAAGTGAATTAGAGAATCTCGTCATTGGCTTACTCCTTGCTAACACATACTGCTTTGAAAGATACTCAATAGAAATCAATTTATGTGTCTACAAACAAGTTCAATATAAATTCTAATAATGATAAAGGGAGATTATACGAGATTTAACAACTCAACCTAATCATATTCTGAAAAGTTCACTAAACAAACACAGTCAGCCAAGTGTTTGAAAAAATGATCATATCGTAAACATATAAACATGTCTAGAGCTATTGAATGCATGTGCATGAGATGTAGTTGTGCATAATATTAGTCTGAGATGAACTAAACTCCTCCACAACAGTATATCAGTCTTCTAGTATGTACACTGAAGTCAATAGAGTCAACCTTTGAATACTTATCACTCATACAAGTCTTAATACTGGTCAGCAAAGATGAGATAAGAAACTGGAAGCCATTTAAAGGCCAAACAAAAAATATCAGACATGCAGACAATCTTTTGGTCCAAATCAATAATCCGCCAGCCTTAGTCTAGTTTAATAACAATAATACTACCTTTACATCAGTTTCTCACATCACTCTCTTACATCATGATGTGGCACTGCCATCTCATCTGCCACATCACTTCCCCCTAAAACTTAAAATTTTTTTTTTTTTCAAAATACCCTAAAATTTGAAATCTCCACTTTCCCTCAAACAAATCAAATCAATTTCAATTTCCCTAAAATAGGGACCCAAAAAAATTATCCCCAAATTTTCTTTCAATTTTGAAAACGCTAGCCACCACATTCTCCAATCTCAGTCACCACCGTAGCCACCACCATATTCGCACCAGGTCGTCGCCATCCACCATCCCAAACACCCTTCACTCTACTGACAGAAGGTAGCATTTCAATTAACTCTACTAACACTCGTGATTTGTGTTTTTGTTGCATGTCGATCCTAAGAGCCACTCTTGGGGGGTTTGTCATTTATGAATAATGGAGTCAATTTGTTTGTCCTGCAAAAGTTATTTAAGGGTTAACAGTTGGAGTTCTTGTGTCCAGGAGGCTAGGGTAGAGGCGAATAACCACCCCAAAAAAAGAGACCGATACATGCAAGATTCAGTTTGGTGTTTCTGACGGTTTGATTTTTGTCTTGAAATATTATTATTCCATGTCTTATCTTGTGTCTCTTCAGCCAAACAAATGGTGGCACCTTGTCATTTTTATTTTACAAATGGACTGAGTCATATCTGAATAATTGTAGGGATGACCAATTTAAAGTGTAAGTGTTAGTGTTGATGAGTTAAGAGTGTTGCCTTTTCCCGTTTACTTTTGTCTTGTTTGCACATCTCAATGTATATGGAAAGAAGCTTGTGCTTTTATCTTTTATTTTCTTTTTGTTATGAAGTTCTCCAAAATTTCACTAGTCTATTATGTATATGTGCATTGCCCATTGACGCTTCCATTTTTTGTTCTGCATTGTTTTTCCAATTATAATTGTTATTTTCCATTCCCTTTTATGAAGATATTTATTTGTTTTGTTTCTTCTTTTTTCAAGGGTACTCTTAAATCACCATTGTCCCGTAGGAGAAGAAAACATGCGCTTCTTGCCAAACAATGGAAGAGCTTATTTACACCAATGGAAGACTTATTGAAGGTGGTGTATGTCCATACTGGGGTATGTTATTAAAAATTTGATCAGACATATATGTCGACTTATTCATTCCATATAATTTTCAATTGTGACCACTTGGTTTTATCATTCTCTCTCTCATATTGTTGTGAGTATTCATTCTTCATTCTGCAATGCAGGGTGTTGATCCAAGTATTAGAGTAGAGATTTGGTCATTCCTCCTTGAAGTATAAGAATCTTCTTTCATGTTTAAGCTTATGTATTGTTTTTTAACCTTAATCATGCATGTGATACATTTATTTGCTTGATTTAGACATAATTCTCTCTCTCTATAGGGCTTGTTTCAAATTTTTTTAATAGCCTTTAGGTTAATGTGGTCCTTTGAAATTCTTGATACATGGCAACCTGTCTGGAATGTGTGGCTTGTTATGTCCTCTTACCTTGATTCCAGTTGATTGATGTCTTCCATGGTACAAATTAGGAACTGAATTGAAAAAAAAAAAAAAAAAAAAACAAGAAAGATTCATACCAATTTAGCTTGGTGTGCGCTATGGCTTAGCATATTTTTTGGCATAGGTATTGGCTTAAAGGCTTTCATATTTTTAACTTACTATAATTAGAGAGTGTTACAATTTCTAACTTTAATTTTTTCTTCCTACATTTTTTACTTTCGTTATTCTTTGTTCTCTGTGTTTAGGTATAAAGAACTTTACACTTTTGTTTGGTCTGTATGGAAATATATTTGAATTGACGAAAATATTCTGTAAGAAAGCTACAAAAGAAAATTACACTAGTGTTAGATTCTATTTTGTAATTTAGTTTCTTTAGTTGACTATGGTCTAGTGTTTCTTCTCCATTTTCCATCATAGGTAGAAGTTAATTTAATTTTAGAGTGAACTATTTTTTTTTTTTATGTTTCTGATTTATTTTTTGAATCAGACCAGATTTGAATAGATTTCCTAATTAAATGTAGATCAAGGCTGAATTTTGATTTTTGGTACGACTATTCAGAGTTTGTGTGTCTTTGCACTTGCAGTTTGTACAATGTTTAGGAGTTTTCTGCAGCTTGTGTAGTTTGTGCAGTTTATGTTTTTTTGTTGTTTTCGGAAGAACTTTGCAGTTTGTACAGTTCTTTTTTATTGATTATGAAGCTTGGGCATATTTTTTTTGAGTTTCCAGGAGTGTTATGCAGTGATTGCAGTGTTTGGTTGGTTGGCCGTGAAGTGTGGGCATGTTGAAGTTGTTGCAATAGAAAGTTGCTTTCTTTTGTGCCTGTGTGGTGTTTCTAGAGGAGAATTTTGGGAAGGTGCTGGCTATGGAGCTGCAGTTTAATCGCTGCATTTTTCTGCTGTTCCATGGACAATTCTGTAGGTTTTGCAGTTTCTTGTTTGCTGGAAGTGAAGCTTATTCTGGGGAGGTTGCTTGGATGTTCCCAGCTGTTCTAGACTTTTAGTTTTCGAGAGTGTTTTTTCTAGAGTTGCAGCTCAATTGTTTGCATTTTTGCAACTTGTGCAGTGTTGTTCAGCATCTGAAAACTGATTTTTTTTTTTTTTTTTTTTTTTTTTTTTTTTTTTTTTCAGCTTCAGCAGTGTATAGTTTGCTGGATACACATTTCATATGAGTTAAAAGTACTTTTACAATTGTACTCCTTAACACTTTTGATTTGAGTTAGAAGTACCTTTTACAATTGTAAAGTTTGTTGGATACACTTTCATCTGTAGTAAATCTACTTTTACAATGTACAAAGTACTTTTACAATTGTACTCCTTAACACATTTCATTTGAGTTAGAAGTACCTTTTACCATTCTATAGTTTGCTGGATGCACATTTCATTTGAGTTAAATCTACTTTTACAATGTACTCCTTAGTTAGAAATTAGCCATCTTGTAATCAAATTAAATACAACAGCATTAACTACAAAGGTACAAATGGTCTCTATACTCAAAAAACAAAGTGAGAATACATAGTCATGTTGAGATGAGAGCCATAATAGAACTAAATTTACCATAATAGCATTAACTACAAAGGTACAAATGGTCCCTACACTACAACAAAAATGGTGTTACCGTAGGTGATTGGTAGCATTTATAAGGATGCTATGATAGCCCATGTTACTAAAAAATAGACATTGGTAACACTTTTTGCATGCTACTAATTATTTCAGTAACTGCAATAAAATGCTATTGTTAAGTATATTGTAACACTTATTCGTAGATACGAATGATTTTTGGTAACACTACATAAATGCTATAAATAAGGTTTCTATAACATTCTCAAAATGCTATAAATAAGTTTTCTGTAACATTCTTAACCTGTTACAGTTTAGTTTTCTGTAACATTCTCAAAATGCTATAAATAAGTTTTCTATAACTTTCTTAACATGTTACAATTTAGTTTTCTGTAACATTCTCAAAATGCTATAAATAAGTTTTCTGTAACATTCTTAACCTATTACAGTTTAGTATTTTGTAACATTCTCAAAATGTTATAGATAACAAATCTATAACATTTTTACAATGTTATAGATTAATTTTTCTTAACATTGGTAAAATGCTACAAAAGAGTTTTTAATAACATGTTAAAAGTGCTACCAAAGTATAATTCATTGCATTTTATAAATGTTACAAAATTATTTTTCATAATATTTTGAAAGTGTTATCAATGTATCTGTTATAACATATATTAAAACTGTTACACTTGTTATATTAATAATACAAATTATAAACAATGATACATTAATTTTTCAAACATTTCATTGATGGTGAACCTTCATATACAAAAAGTCTGTCTGTATATATGCCTAATAAATAGGCACCCAACATCCTTTACATACATAAAATCTAATACCTAGATGATTGAAAAATTAACTACGAACAATAGTTAATACTTCTCAATCATTCAAAAAATTCTAACAAAAACCACCATGAAAATTCTGGTTAGTTTCCTTGCTGGTTGCTTCTCCGTGGCATCACTTGTCTTGCCTGCTACACTGCGCTTTGAACTGTTTTCAGAGCCAGTGTTAGTGCTATTGATTTCACATGTAATTGGTACTTCAACCGAAGCTTCACTAAAAAAATGCACAGGTCTTCCCCTGGGAACACTAGGAGTAACTTTGTCATGGCCTGAACCAATTGGATTATGTTTCGCATCAGACGACTGGTCATTTTTTCTCTATCCTGTCCAGCGGATAAACTAAAGTAGAGGATAACAGTTTATTAAAATTTAATTTACACAATTTGACATTGAAAATGGGCAAGTAATGGGTATCAACAAGCATTTACCAAGATCCTGGAGGAGGGAAACCATTAGGAGTAAATGAGCCACCTTTTCCAGCAATCTCTTTTGATGTTGAACAGTTTTGGTCATGTAATCCTGCATCTAAAATTACATTCAAGGGCAAGATGAGCTTTAAACCCTCAACCGACAAACCAGAATAAGAATCACACCCCAACATTACCCCTTAACCCCACCAAAACATTACAATGGAAAACTCTTAGTACATAGTAAAATCAATAAATGGTCCATACAATTTAAAACAGGTGGGCTTTTAAATCTTACCTTGAGCAGTTTCACTTATTTTAGAGTCACACAGTTGTGTAGTACCATTTGTATCCTTAATGCCATCAACATTGGCAGTACCAACATCACTAAGACATATAAAATTACAGAAGAGAAATGACAATTAACCTTGCCAAACACTAGAGTATAAATATGCAGGATTAATTTCGAAACCACTAAAACTAACTAAATTACTTTAAAGCTACGCCCTCAGGCCTTTTGGATCATCAATGGACACTAGAGAGATTAAATTTCAAAGTGAAGAGTTCTATTACTTACTATACTTGATTAGTATCTTTTATTTTTTTGGTCATTCAATCATATTCCATTGGTAAATTTGTAATGAATTCATCATATGTACAGAGAATTATTAAGAAGCATAGCATCTAACATAGATACTTGCAAAAGTATCCATGTTAGTACCATGCAATTTTGCAAGCTTCTCAAAATAATTGGTAATTTGGATGCAAAATATAACCTTTTTAGGAGGCGGGGATGGCTGGGGAGTTGGTTGTTCAACAGTCTGAATTAAACCACAAACAGAATCCAAGTACTAGTCTTAAAGAAAATAAAAATGCATCAAGAAACTTACAAGCTCATGAAACACAAAACAGGAGAAAAGTAAAATTGAAATGACAGTTATGAAAATTTGCATGGTGATACTGCTAATTGGGGGGAAAATAAAAACCAACCTTTGTAATATAGTGTTGAACTCTTCTGGTGGTTAAAGTTTATGTTCAGAGCTTGGTCTCCCTTCTGTGCAACCAAATAAACAAAATTAGGAGAATTTCGTTAGTGCGGAAAAATACTGGAGGAAAAAAATTAGCCAAAAATATAAGTGCATGTAAATATATTCTAGGTTCTATTCATGTAAAGAATATCTATTTCGATTGTTCCCACACAGAACTCCTTTTCCCCACAAAACTGAGCCGTTAGGTAACAGATGGTTATATCAACCATTTCACATAATCTTATCCTATAATGAAGCGGCACATCCTTATGCCACAAATAGAGCCCATATTGATAAGGTTTACAAGATGCACCTCTAGTTTCCTCCATGGTTTGGACATCTTCCAAGTCCTTTGTGTGAAGCTGAAAAAAATGTTAAAGACATCAAATTACTGAAATTTTATCATATGTTAATAAGTAAAGATAATGATAAGACAAAAGCGTAAGAAACAGCATCCTCCCCTGTTACCTTGTTTTGTTCAGAAATGAAACTAGCTCGATTTGGTGACAAAGGTTCACTTTGTAACCTGTCTTGAGTCACCTGTGAAACTGAAGGGGCAAAAATTGAGGTTTCATGTCTTAGAATATCTACATTATAATTTCTCTAGATTCTGAAAAGTAAAATAAGTTCAAAATCAGACAATTTGCCCTGCTATTGTTGACAAAAAATCTACAAATACAAAAAATCTATAAGTTTAAAATCATCTTTTAAAGAATTTTCCCTCCCAATTTCGTTCAAAATACCTTCAATAACTTAAACTTCAAGATTAAAATTTACTTTAATTCCTTGTTCTACATTTTCTAGCAATTGAACAAAACCCAATTCACATTGCAATACAAAAGTGCAATTTATTGATTTTAATATGCAATATCCATATACTTTTCTCAATGCATATTATGTAATTTGTAAACAACCAAGAAAAAACTTTGAATCAGTCACCTTCCATAGAATCCTTTCATTTTTTAACTTAACATTCCCTCAAATCCAATAGCCAAAACACCCATCCCAACTGGAAGGTTCTCGGAAAACTCCAACAACAAAATCTCGTCATCTTCCAGCAACTCAACTTTCGTGGGCTCGAAATCCTGTTTAAAAATCCATTCACTCATTAAAATATCAACATCTAAATATTCGTTTATCAAAAAATCACATTTAAAACAAAAAAAAAAATAGAAATTTCAATATCTCATGTTAAAGTTGAGTTTGATAGCTGAAAAACCCCAGACAAAACAACCTGCAAATCAAAGAAATTTTGAGAAAGAAAAAAGTACAACACTGCTGCACATGAACATGTCAACGAAGTGTCTGATTTCATTTCAAATCTGCCCGAAGAGTGCTTGGCTTGCATTTTCCAGTCTCTTAGCTCTGGTGATTGCAAAAGATGCTCTCTAGAATGTCGTCGCTGGCTCAGAATCAAGGGACAGAATCGTCACCATCTCCCTCTCAATGCCAAATCAAATCTCAAATGTGACCGTAGATCTATCGGCATCGGGGACGATGCACTTGTTTTAATATCTCTCAAGTGCCAAAACCTCAAGCGCTTGAAGCTCCAAGCTTGCCGAGAGTTGATCGATGCTGGAATGTCAGCGTTTGCTAATCACAAGAAGAAGAAGATAGATTGATTAAACCTTAAAACCTTTTGCCCTAATTGCAACAAGAAGAAGATTGAGAAGAACAAAGCAATTAGATGAATTCCAACGAGAAGAAGATTGAGAAGAAAAGAGCAATTAGAAGATTGATTGAGAAGAAGATTGATTGTCGCAAAATGGGTTTTCAGCAGCAAGATTTTGTCGCAAAATGGGTGGGAAATTCTTTATCTAGCGAAACAAACAAGGGTTAAGAAAAGAAAAGGCGACTCTAGAACTCAAACTAAAGAATTGCCTTCGATGTGAATGAGTTATGAGGGTATTAGCTAGGAAATTTTGGGAAATTTTGAGTTAGGCGGTATTAAGTGTTATTTTCCCGGTTAATATTTGGGTATATGTAAAACGTTTGTTTGATCCCTAAATGAATGAAAAGTGACAAAATAAACCCAAAATAATGTGATTTGTCCCCTAAACAATAAAAATGAGACAAAATCAACTTCATTTCATGTTGGCGGGAATGACATTTTTTTTCCCGGTAAATAATTGGGTTTATGGTAACACTTATAAAATATTACTGTATTTTGATTATATGGTAACATTATAAAAAAGCTACTATATTATTAGATCTATTGTAACACTTTAAAAATGTTACTGTAGTTCCTATATTAGTAACATTTCACAAAATAAAGTTACCATTGATATAAAATGTGTTACAAAAAATTAAAGTGTTACATATGAAAATTGTTATTGTAACATTTTAACATTAAGTGTTACCATAGATAGTCTACAGTAATACTTTAAGGAAAAGTGCTACTGTCTAGTGTTACCGTAGGTCATTTTTGTTGAAGTGCTAATAGAACTAAATTTACTATTTGTAGATTCTATTTAAGCCCCACGTCTGTGTGAAACATTTTTGCCAACTGGTAAAATGCCTTCTGGTGAGCTGCATTGGCAACCACTAAAAAGTATTTGCATGCTAACTTCACATCTCTCTTCACTCCAATCCCTTTAAGATACATTACTCCAAGGTTATAATGCCCACTAGCCTCTTCATTATCAGCCGCCTCCCCAAAGTACTCTTTTTCCTATAGTACAAAGAATTGGTTTTCATTCTAAACTCTNATTCATAAATTTAAAATTATTCGAATGGTAGTAGATTTTTGTAGCTTTTAGAATTTAAAAGTTGCTTTTGAAAAGTCTATTAAAAAAAAGAAAAAAAAAACGTTCATATATGTAAAAAAAGTTAAATAAATAATTTAATAATTTATTCATAAATTTAAAATTATTCGAATGGTAGTAGATTTTTGTAGCTTTTAGAATTTAAAAGTTGCTTTTGAAAAGTCCATTAAAAAAAAGAAAAAAAAAACGTTCATATATGTAAAAAAAGTTAAATAAATAATTTAATAATTTATTCATAAATTTAAAATTATTCGAATGGTAGTAGATTTTTGTAGCTTTTAGAATTTAAAAGTTGCTTTTGAAAAGTCTATTAAAAAAAAGAAAAAAAAAACGTTCATATATGTAAAAAAAGTTAAATAAATAATTTAATAATTTATTCATAAATTTAAAATTATTCGAATGGTAGTAGATTTTTGTAGCTTTTAGAATTTAAAAGTTGCTTTTGAAAAGTCTATTAAAAAAAAGAAAAAAAAAACGTTCATATATGTAAAAAAAGTTAAATAAATAATTTAATAATTTATTCATAAATTTAAAATTATTCGAATGGTAGTAGATTTTTGTAGCTTTTAGAATTTAAAAGTTGCTTTTGAAAAGTCTATTAAAAAAAAGAAAAAAAAAACGTTCATATATGTAAAAAAAGTTAAATAAATAATTTAATAATTTATTCATAAATTTAAAATTATTCGAATGGTAGTAGATTTTTGTAGCTTTTAGAATTTAAAAGTTGCTTTTGAAAAGTCCATTAAAAAAAAGAAAAAAAAAACGTTCATATATGTAAAAAAAGTTAAATAAATAATTTAATAATTTATTCATAAATTTAAAATTATTCGAATGGTAGTAGGTTGACAGTCAACGATGGTCAACGACAATAAACAATACCTATTTTAATAATATATCTTAATAATAATAGATCATATTTTGCTCTTTTTACAGTAAAAGGTAATTACTTGTAGGGGGCGTTTGGATTATATAATGTTTTTTTATCTTAGTAATAAGATTACTAGAAAAAAATATTACATTATAGATTACCGGGTTTAAATTATTATTGTGCTTGGTTCAATTGAGATATATTAATAATTACTGTACTTGGTTGGCAGTAATAACAGATATCCTGAAATACTCTTTTACTAGATGCCCTTGGGATGAGTACTTGTATTACTAATTAATCTGTTTGGTTGGCTAACAGCAGCTGTCTTGATTACATTTTACTAAAATGTCATTTAAATGATTACTGGGTATAAATAATTAACGTGTTTAATAAAAGAATGATCAATTAAAAAAATTCTTTTTCTTATATTTTAGCCAAGTATTTTATTTTTAAATCATTTATTAACAAATTTACATAGACTATTGAAACTCCAAAAAAAACCTATTGTATTTTCTATTGGGTATACATTCAACACCTGACCCTGGTATTGCAACAAATATAGTTGTCATCTCCCAATTTAAAACTCTATTTTAAACTCTGATTTGTGTATTGCCACAAATCATAGTTCGTACATGTTAATTTCTACTTTAGTTCAATTGAAGCCTTTTTTTCTTTTTCAAGGCAAAAGAAAAATTATATTTTTTTGGTTCACACCATGGCTGGAATTTAGATGCAAGTTTCCAAATTTGAGGAAATCTATTAACTTTTTCCACTTATCCTAGGCCAAAACTATGTGTGAAAAGTGTGAGAATTATTGGTACATTTGTCATATCACATATTTGGGGTACCTATGCATTTACATTATGCTGAATCCAAGCAATGTACCAATAAATTAACTACAAGCTGAATAACGATGCTCTTTAAATCTGTGAACCAATAATAATACATAATTCCGCACGTTGCAACAATGAACATAATCACCACAATTTTTTAAGTGAACTCAATTTGACATCTGCAAATACTAATTACACAATACTCAATACACAATAATCATACATAAATGAATAAAACGCAGTCTATGCTACTCAACTTCACACAACAGTTTGTCACAGAATGCTGTAAATTCAGCCAATGTAAACCAATCATGCATCATTTGTGGAGAATAAAAATCAACAACAATAACCCACATATTATAATTGAAAAGACAATAAACAAATCAACCTGATCAATTAAACGACTGCAATACTTACAAAGTAAGGATACCCGTCGTTGATTGAAAAATCTTCTGAGGCAGCTTCCACAAACTTGGTTATATAATACAGTACGAAATATCCGCAATCCATGTCGTTCTGTTGTTGAGGGACTTGGTGAGTGCATTTATCGGTCACAACAAATACATGAAATACTGAACATATCAACCACTAATTACCATCAACCAACACAATATACTGTTTTATCACCTTAAGCACTAGCAAAGGCAGTTTCTCAGCCAATGCTAAATGCTTGGGCATTGTTCCTGATTCATAAATATCCCTCACAAACCTGCATAATTAAGCTTGGACAATTTGAAACCCATTCCAGTACCACATCTCTAACAATACAATTTCATCATGTGCTCAAATGTGCTTGCAAATAATTGTGAAATAATCAAAGTTTACCATCGAATCAGAGGTTGTAGTGTCATTCCGTTTTCTGATCCAAGCGAATCAAGCAGCACCGTGCATTGAGTTTTAATTTCCAAGTTTACAACTCCACCAAAGTTGCACAAAATCAGTAAACTCCAATGACACCTGTCATCATAATTTATGCATATTATCAATGTCAACTCTTAAGTAACCGAAATCAACCCATGTCTGCGTTTGGTAAGTATAAAACAAATGCCTACAAACACAATATCTTCACTCACCAGAGGACTATAGGAATGAACACATATTTCCTTGAGAATATGTTCAATTCGTCAATCCACTTCAGCACATTCCCTTTGTACACTTCTTCTATGTACATAAAAAACCACATGCAGTCCAAGGTGATGAAATTGTGCAAGTTGTCTCCTTTAAAACTCCTCCACAACTTCCTACATATTAGAAATATGCAGTCAATTGTATTAGGTAAACATATTATGTAAATATGGCATGAAGCATGTAAATTGTAAAACAATTTCGTACCCCAAATGGAGGTCAAACATACTACTACTCAACATCCCCCCTCCCCTTCTGTTTGCCAATCGCCTACTTGACCTTCGTTGATTTGTGGCACCTACATATGTTCATCATTCATTTATATTAGCAAACAATTTCAAACATCTTTCATAACTAAAAGCATTAGTCGGTTTACGAGTTGCAAGGTTGGTACCTTTGCATTTACTGCCCTTTAAGGCTAAAGGAATCTCCTAACATTCTTCATGTACTGAATGACTGGTCCTGCTTATATCTGCACATCAATCAATTATGAGCTACGTTAATAAGCATTATTCCCAGCCATACAACAAATTGACTCCATAAATATCCAATCGTAATATCTTTCACATTGCTATCTATATAAACTGTCTAGCTCTCTTGACATTGTTCACGAACTTTTGCACTTTCTGTCTTTACTATTGGGCAATGTGGTGGTCTTCCCATCGTTCCTGCACACCAACCCACAAAACAAAGCACATCAAAGAGGGAAAGAAAACGAAAATTATAGAACTGACACTTTATAAATGCTAGTATACCTTGACTGTACTTTCCTGGTGAACTAAATGTCAATTTCCATAAGTAAATCAAAATGCCACATTCACCATACTAAGACAACAGACATTTGTTAGAGTAGGTGCCCTAGAGCCAATCAATTATTGTAGAATTGACTCCTTGTAATAATGTTCATTGATCAATAAAAGGCATTTTATTCTATATCGCGTAAATCATCATTGTATGTATTGATATATGTTCTTAGAATGGTAAAACCATGACGAGGGTATCAAGTGTTTCAAATCTTGATAGTGAGAACCCTATGAGCACATATGGTAGCTATTCTAGAAACGTCCGTAGCCCTAGTATTATTTTGAAATGAGGGCACAGATAATATAGTAAGGCTATCATAGTATTAAACGACCCTGTCGAAAGGCAGTGGCTGATCTCACTTGTCAAGGTTGTTTGGTGACAACCTGATGCAACACATGGGTGCTTGCTGTAGGCAAGTTCACTAGACTAACCCACCAGAGGATTCCATATGGATGGTAACCCCAATGTCTATGGAACAAATCCTCTAACGAATGGTGGTGCATGTGATCTTTAGACTTGAGATCACTTGAGCGCCTTGTGCACCGATTGGTGTAGTTTGACACTAGCCCAACGCAGTTTTATTCAGAGCTGTCAATA